TCCAGAACTGTGAGGTAATAACCTTGTGTTGTTTTAAGCTACTGCGTTTATGTGATGTATTGCAGAAGCCCTTGGAAATGAATAAACCAGCGCTGTTGAGTCTATTCCAACTCATGGCATTGGGTGGTGCAAATGGTTACGTGCTCGACTACGAACGAACAGGTTGGCAGTTCAACCCTACCCAGAGGCACCTCAGAAGAAAGGCCTGGTGACCTACTCCCAAAACCCTAGGAAGCAGTTGTACTCTAACACACATGGTGTTATCATGAGTTGGAATCACTGGACGGCAACTAGAGAAAATCAACGCACCATCGTTTCTCTGGGTTGGCTTTAAATCGACTCAGCCTTCTGTAAGATGATAAGCCTCTCATATTTCTTGTAAATCTTCTGTAGTCGGCACACAGAGTATACGCAAATATTTATGGATTATACGGAAGGCAAACCCAGCTCATGTCTGCCTTCAGATATGACCAGCCTGGTGATTTGCTCTCAAGATGGCAAATATCTGTTCCTTCATTGGGCACCAGTGCTGGGTGCCGGGAATACAGAAATAAGTAAGAGCTTGTCCTCCCACCAGTGGTCCCTGGGTGGCACAAGCGGTTTGCCCTCAACTGCTAACCTGACGGTTAGTGGTTCAAATCCACCCAGCAGTGCCACAGAAGAAAGGCCTGGCGATCTGCTTCTGTAAAGATTACAGCCAAGAAAACCCTATCTATGAGGCAGTTCTACTCTGTAGAACATGGGGTTGCCGTGGGCCAGAATCGACTCAGCGGCAGCAGGTCTAGTTTTTGGTTCTCATTCCCGAGGTGCTGAGTGTGCCTCACCAGCCCGGTTGAGTCCACAGACACGCTTACTGTCAAATCGGAGTTCTTCCTGATGTCTGCTCCTTATAAAACCAGCCTCCTCTGAAGCTTATTCAGACGTGCTGATTTTTTTTTTTTACGTTTTAGCAAGGGTCAGGAAGAGCATAGGAGGTTGTTAGCTCATCTACAGATGGACCTATTTTCATGGTGCCCCATGTTGCTGAGATCAGCAGTCATGCTGAAGGGTGTGTCTTACTCTGGGTGCCATGGGGAATGTCATCTGCCTGTCCCCTGCCCTTGCGCCAGCCAGACAGAGACACTGCTGTTTGGAAGTTTTCCTTGTGGTTCTTTATTTCCTCTCCTCTATCGAGCTTCCTGTTCCTCAGAGGCCAGTGGTGGCATGCATGCAGACTGTTCAGAAATTGTCACTGTTGTCCCGTGGTTAAGCCTCGAACTTTTCTTGGGATGATAAAAGATCAGTGGTGATCTATGGAAAATATCTGGGAAGGTGGCAGAAGTCATGGAGCAGAGAAATGGGTGGGGGAGCCGACTATTGAGGAGATCTTTTTTCACCTTTTCATTGTATCTTGGGGAAACTGAGGCATGGGAGGGCAATGGAGCAGCTCTCCAACACTTAGCTCTCTGTCACTTAGCAAGGATCGGAGCTTGATCCCCGTGGTAGCAGCTTGGCAGTTCCAGGCTCAAGAATCAAAATGAGATAACTGAGCTGTAAAGCCTTACTACTAGTCACAGTATGTAGATAAGTAAGCTTTAGCATAGTGTTCTAGGCTCTGGTCTCTGCCCCTTCCCATCTCCCTTTGTGTATAAATGCCATATAGCAGGGTGGTTCATTGCACAGACTCTGGAGCCTGACAGCCTAGATTCGATCCCACTTACCAGCAGTGTGTTGTTAGCTGCCATTGAGTCAACAGCCCCCAACTCCTGGTAACCACATGCACAGCGGAATGGAATGCTGCCCCGCCCTGCACCATCCCTCTGACCGGTTGTGAATTAGACTATTGTGATTCATAGGATTTTCATTGGCTAATTTTCTGCAGTAGATTGCCAGACCTTTCTTCCTAGTCTGTCTTAGTCTGAAAGCTCTGCTGAAACCTGTTCAGCATCATAGCAGCACACAAGCCTCCACTGCCAGACAGGTGGTGGCTGCACGTGAGGTGCATTGACCAGAAATTAAAGCTAGATCTGCGTGGAAGGCGAGAATTCTACCACTGAACTACCAGTGCTTTTACCAGCAGTGTAAAACATTCAACAAATTACTTGATACACTTTTCCTGTCTATAAAACAGGAATGATAATATTATCAGCCTCCTGAGGGTGTTGTGAGGATCATGTGAGTCAGTATGTGTTGTTGTTAATTACTGTCAATTCCGACTTATGGCGACCCTCTGTGTGCAGAGTAGAACTGCTGTGTAGGATTTTTAAGGCTGTGACTTCAGAAGCGTATCTCCAGGCCTGTCTTCCAAGGTTCCTCTAGGTAGGTTCAAACTGCCAACCTTCGGGCTAGTTATTGAGCACTTAACCATTTGCGCTACCCAGGGATCTGTTAATATGTGTAGGGTATTTATACCAGTGCCTGATACATCCTGATTGGCTCATCTTCCCACAACCTTAAAGGTTCTCCAGCATTTCAGATGCCTGCATCCTAGTCCGTTGTGTGTAGCGGTGCTCTGGATTTATTTAACCAGCTCACTATAATGGGATTTTGTTTCTAGATTTTACTATGACTGTCCTCATAGGGAAGAATTTGATCTCATCCTGAGTTATTTCCTCAGGTTAAGTCCCTAAGAGTAGAATTGCTGGGTCAAAGAGGGTGGATGTTTTTAAGGCTTTGTTGATAGATGCTGCCAAATTTTCCTCCAGAAAAGAAGCGCTGGTTTACACTCCCACCAGCAGTGAATGAGTGTGCTAGTTTCCTTATGTGGTCAGGTTATTAACTTTTAATCAAATGAAGGCCCAGGAAAAGTAGGATATGTTTCCCTAGGGATAAAATGTTCTTCATCCTTGCTTATAAGCAATAAAAGCTTAGAGAACCTGAGGAGAGCCCAGAAGGTGGGTCGATATTGAGAAAACAGCGCCCTCTGCTGGTGGAGCCATATGAACCGCGGTAGATGGAGCTGCTGAGATGGTCACCGTTTCCCCTGCCTGCAAAGAGTGGGTACAGGTGCCAGGAGCTAAAGGACAACATTTTAAAGAGACTTCTGGCCATTTTAAAAAGTCAGCCTCAGGTGACATTTAGTTCTTGCTCAAGTTCTTTTTTTAGAGCAGTTGATCTCAACAGGGGGCGAGTTTGCCCTCTAGGGAGCACTTGGTACTGTCTGGGGACATTTTTGGGGTCCCTGGGTGATGCAGGGAGCCCTGGTGGCGCAGTGGTTAAGAGCTTAGCTGCTAACCAAAAGGTCGGCAGTTAGAATCCACCAGTCACTCCTTGGAAACCCTATGAGGCAGTTCTACTCTGTCATATAGGGTCGCTATGAGTCGGAATCGACTCAACGGCGGTGGGTTTTTTGGTTTTTGGGTGCTGCAAATGGTTTAACGCACTCAGCTGCTAACCAAAAGGTTTTAGGGTTGAGTCTACCCAGAAGTGCCTCAGAAGAAAGGCCTGGCAATATGCTTCCGAAAGTTCACAGCCATTGAAAACCCTGTGGAGCACAGTTCTACTCGGACACATAGGAGTCGCTGTGAGTCAGAATTGACTCAACAGCAACTGATTTTTTTTGTGGGGGGGGGGGCAGGGACTTTTTTTTGGGTAGGGTGCAGGGACATTTTTGGTTGTCACAAATCGGGGGAATGCTGCTGACTTGGGTGGAGGCCAAGGATGCTCCTAAACATTGTACAATGCACAGGACAGCCCCCTACAACAAAGGTCAGTCGGTACTAGATGTCAGTAGTGTCAGGATGGAGAAACACTGTTTTAGAGGAATGGAAAAATCTTCCTGAGAAGACTTCTCTTTTCTGACTAAATAAATAAAATATATAAATGTTAATATATAATACATGTGACTATTAATTGTTTTGTGTTGTTTTAGTTGTCCTTGTTCTAGAAACCTGTTAGTTTTGTAGAATAAAACGGAAAATGGGTGGAACTGAAACAGCAAATCGGCATTTTCTGGAAGAGAGAGAAATACAACCCATGATAGTCCAGGTGCTAATAAGGAGGGGATTTTTTTCTGTTAACTTGACCTGGGTCAACCTGCTGTGAATTCCTGCGGCTTTCCCTTGAAGGCCTCGCCTGTTAAAAATAGTGCTTCATTGGACGCTTTTCCCTCATTTCACAAGCTCCAGTGTTTTCATAACGTTTATAATTGTGCCTGGCCTTCCAGCGTTCAGGGAAGAATTACCATCTGTGGTTACAATTTGCTGTCCCCACCCCCCATGCCCAGGTGAATGCTGATTGAAGCATTGTTTCTAAGAGGGGGAAGGAAGAGAAGATTTCTAAAATCATCTCAGAAGAGGGTGTGCTACAGGGGAAAGTATGACAAGCATTTCAGGAAAATCATACTATACCGCAGCTTACTTCACCCATTTGCTGAGCGTAAGGACCTTTTTTCGCTGGTGTTAGCCAAACCCATTTCAAAGATATTCTGTTATCTCACTTGCCTTCGTTTTGCTGTTCTCTGAATTACTTATGTTCTAGAACACGTGTTCTGAAATAGTTAGCTTGCAGTGGCCTTGTTAGCTGTTTTCAGTAATATTGAGAGGATTACTTTGGCAGAAGTGGGGGGAAAAATCTACAGCTTTTCCCTAAACATCAGACACTATTTTGATCAAACTCAGGACTCGTTTGTGGGTTGTAAAGTCAATATCTGGATCACAGTCAGCATTTATAAAAAATCAGAATAGACAATATCAGAGTATCATACAGTAAGGATAACTTTCATTTTGGTTATATATCCATATATCACCATACACAGATGTCTGTATATATGTATGTATTTATGTGTGTGTGTGTGTGTGTATTTAAATGTAAATATATAAATCAGACATGTATCCTGAGTCCTCATATAAAATACCTGTTTTTTCCTGAGGGCTATGGTCAGAAGTTTGAAATTCACTGGCTTAGGTTTTACCACATGGTGACATCTGGCTTGTATTTCAATTCTTTCATTCTCTACTTAAAGATCTCAGTGATTGCAACTTGTCGCCCGTCCCTCAACCTTGCCTCTCTTGCTTTTTCAGGTGGCACCAGGGAGATTGGATCTGCTCTAACCAGGATGTGCATGAGACACAGAAGCATCGAAGCCAAGCTGAGGCAGTTTTCGAGGTAGGGGCATCCGAGCCCAGGTGGCAGACGCCCTTGCTGGCTGCAGGTGGAGGAGGCAGTGGCGTGTAGCTTAACTCACGGGAGGCAGTTTCCCCATAGCATGTGAAACCTCACGGCCCGTCTTCCCCCTTGACTCTGCTCAGTCATTGAACAGGTATAGACTGGACATCCGCTATGAACCAGGCACTGGTCTTGGCACCGGGGACACAGCGAGACCCAGGTGGCCTGGGTTCCTGCCCTTACGGGGCCTGTGCTCCCTGCAGGATCTAGTCTGTGCTCCTCACCCTCCGTCAGGATGAGGAGATGAGCTGTTGCACCCTGCTGAGTACTCCGGGCCCCCAGCACCCTGCGGAGCCTCCTAGGAAGAGGAGATGCAGGATAGGAGAGTGAGAAGGCCATTCTGTCCTGGAAACCTCCACCTCAGAGTTTCCTTCAGACCCATAGTGAAGCAGAAGCTCATAGAGCCAGCTTCCTGTTTGGCTTTCTTGTGTCCAGAATGGGTAGATATGACAATGGCTGACATGGGGATTTGGGGTCACCAGTGTTTAAAGGAAAATGCACACTGGTTTGCAGCAGATCTGCATAATTCAGCAATTTTGCACAGTTCTGCTTTATGGGTAGCGAGTTGTGTAAATGCCAGCCAAAGTGAAATCACTGTGGTCCACTTGGCAGGGCCACCGTGGTAGGCAACAGAACATAGTAGAAGTACTCATCTCTGCACACCTGGGTTCGAATCCTGACCTTCCCACTTAACACTGGGTCTGGTGGCTCAAATGGTTTAAGTGCTCAGCTGCTAATTGAAAGGTTGACAGTTCAAACCCACCCAGCAGCAACATGGGAAAAAGACCTGGTGATCTGCTTCCATAAAGATTACAGCCTAGAAAACCCTATGAGGTAGTTCTACTCTGTCACATGAGGTTGCTGTGAGTCAAAATCGACCCAGCAGCATCCAACGACGACAGTGATCTTGGGCTAAGACTTCGGACCTTGTAAAATGGGGATAATAATTCTACTTTGAAGGGTTCTTATAAAAATTAATGAAGTGTTCACAAACCAAAAAGCACCTGAGTAGTGGGCAATGGGACATTGGCTTCCCTCCCTCTTGCTCATGTTTGTAAAGTGCTCTACAGCTTACAAGCTGCTTCCTCACACATCATCTCGTTCATTTTTGTGCCAGCCCTCTGGCACTTCACCCTGCTTTTATGATGAGACCCCCAATTCAATAACCACTGCTTGCTGAGCACCTACTGTGTACCAGGCACTGTTGTAGGTGTATGGGGTACAGCAGGAACTAGGAGCCTGCTCTCAGGGAGCTTACACTCTCTACACTGAAGAAACCTGCTATCGCATCAGGCAAGGGTGAGTGACATGGGGAGAAATACAAGGAGATATAGGGCATGGGTGGCCAGCTGTGTGACGCTGAGTTATCAGGGAGAAGAAACATTTGAACAGAGATGGGAAACAAGTGAGGGAGTGAGTATGTTGATGGCTAGAGAAAGAAGGTGGGAGGAAAGGGAAGGCCCTGATAAGAAAAGCAGGAAAATCATGTCAAAAACTCGGAAGATTTTCAGAAAACCCAGGTACAAACAGTTAACATGTTCAGCTGCTGACGGAAAGGTTGGTGGTTCGAATCCACCCAGAGGTGCCTCAGAAGAAAGGCCTGGTGATCTACTTCCAAAAAATCAGCCATTGAAAAGCCTATGGAGCACAGTTCTACTCTGGCCCACATAGGGTCGCCATGAGTCGGAGGCGACTAGACGGCAGCTGGTTTATTTGGGATTAAGAGAGGGTCTGGGGACACCTTTTTAGTTGTTCTCACCAGTGAAATGAGAACCATTTATGGGTATTTTCTAATATTTTCTACAACATCTCTATGAGGTAGGAATGGGCCGATTTGTCTTCCCTTGCCCAGAGGAAAAACCATGGTTCCCTGACTCACATGATCCTGTGTGTGGGAGCCCCTTTCCACGTGCCTGAATGTGGTCTCTTTGGCAGACTGCACAGAATGAAGGGATGCCGCCAGGGGTACCCTCACCCTCAGTGATTCAGCAGCTCAAGCTTGAGAACTGTCTCTTAACTCTTCTCTTTCCCAGGCTCTCCACAGTTAGTCTGTATTCATGGGTTATAATCCTGGTTGCACATCAGAATCCTGTGGGTCTTTTTGGGAGGGTGGGAGAGTCTTTTTAAACTATAGTCATGCTGGGGCCCCACCCCTAAGGTTTCTGGTAGGCATGGGGTATGGCCCACGAATCTTTACCTTGTGAAACTCTCCAGGGGGTCCCTGTTGTGCAGCCAGCAGGTGACCCATTGGTCCGTAACTTTGCTTGTTAATATGAGGACTGGAATATAAACAGGGAAGTGAGAAGTGGAGTTGCTCCAGCCAGTCCCACTTACAGCTTCTTAATAGTCATTGAAAATTGTTCTGAGGATAAGGCTGTTCCGACGCTGGAAGCTGGGAGATTTAGATGTGAACTTTTCCTCTAGCTCATGTTTCGATGGGAGCTTATTCTGCCTTTTCTTGCTTAGGTAATTGTGATTTAGGTATGTTTTGACAACCAGGTGTAAATCCTGACAACAAAATGTATCTCTGAGCTCTAATTTCTCCTGTTCTTTCTCCTTTTGGTAAAAGTGCTTTAATTGACTGCCTGATAAACCCGCTTCAAGAACAGATGGAGGAATGGAAGAAAGTGGCAAACCAGCTGGATAAAGACCATGCAAAAGGTAGAAAGGCAGACGTCTGACCCAGATAGTACTCTGGGAAGAGCTGGGGACTGTGCAGGCTGCTGCCTGGGCCCTCTTCCGGGTTTATTGATATCACCTCAAACAGCTAAGGGCTTGCTCTGCCCTGCATCTCCTGTAGGCATTTCAGTGTTGGAAGATAATGGGTCAAAGGTAATCCTGTTGCAAAACTCAGTGCAGTTTTTTGGCCATGAAACATCTCTCAGCAGCCTGATCTGTTACTGGCATTAATTGTGATCAGCTGAATTAAAAGTAGATGGTACTAGAACTAGAAAACTAAGATGCCAAAGATTCCTACGTAAGGCTCATTTTAATGGTACAAGCTAACCTTGTGTCCCTGCCCAGACCTGGCTGTTCTCTTTGCACATTGCCTCGGGCAGGTGAGACAATCTTTGTGACTGGCTTAGGTAGTTGTTGAGGACCTTGATGGTATGAGAAGGAGCTCAGTCTGATCTTCTAAGGAAATAGCACCAACACTCTTTCATTAATTGTAATGTCTGGCCAGCATCTTCCCCACATGGGGTTCCTTTTAAGTGAAGTTCCATGGACATGGACCTTGGGAAAGTAAATAATAATGAAAATATTTCCTGATACTTGAACTGATGATTTCCAGTTTTCATTGACAATTGAATGAAAATTTGAATGAAAGTACATTGGCAAATGAGTAATTTTTATTAAAATAGCCCCAAATGATGCCCTTCCTCACGACTGGAATTAGTGAATATGATAGGAAAAAATTGTCATGGATTTTGTGGTTTTTATTTTAATTTAAAGCCCCTTGCTTGTAAAATGTCATCGTGAGAGTTTATCACACTGTATTCTGATAAACCTATTTATGGCACGTCATAGCTTTCTGTGATGATGATAATGCCTGCTAAGCAAAATGATCCAATTATTCAATATTCTGCTTTCTCTTTAGAATATAAAAAAGCACGCCAAGAGATAAAAAAGAAGTCCTCAGACACGCTGAAACTGCAGAAGAAAGCAAAAAAAGGTAACTCTTAAAATTCTGTTGTAAGTCTTACTATTTCGAGAAAGTGAATACATGCTCGATTGGTCTTTGAAGTGGAAGATGTTCATAGACTTCCTTATATCTGATAGGCCTGGACAACAGATACGGGCAAATAGCATCTATCTGAGTTGAAGTTCTTGAAGTTCAGAGTATGTATTAATTTGAAGCCCTTACAAAGTAGTGCTTGACTTGTCCCCTCCCCTCCCCTTTGTCTCCAAAACGTGACAGTTTCCGTGCCTATTGTGCACTGTAATGAAACCTATAAATTTCTTGGAAGCGTTCATGTGGTGCATAAGCCTTTATGCAAATGTTCTATAGTAATTATTACAGAAATTATGTCATTTTCTCTTTCATCTTTCACAGCCTATAATCTCCTAAACCCTTTATTAAGTCTTGTGAACATGTTAGAAGTGGCTGCTAGAGGGCCGGGAGTCACGGCTACAGGGGACTTTTCATGGAATTCTTAAGGGTGGGAGCTCGCTGATTCACCACTGAGGAAAAGCAGACCATGCAAGATCCCCTCCTCCCACCTCCCCCTTTATCATCATTCACAGACCCTTTAATTGGCAGATCCGAAACCCATCTTTGCTCTTCTGGTATGGACTGGAATTAGAAGAGAAAAATCTGGCTACATCCATCCACTTTGCAAACATTTGTTAACGTTTTTCTAAAACCTAAAATGTCGAGAGTCTCTCTTGAGTTGAAAAGGTGATGTTACTTCCAGCTTATTCTTCTTGACACCAAGTTTTGGAGTCTGCTGCGTCACCTTGATAAGGTGCAAGTTTTCAGTCAGGCTGCTGTGTGGGTGGTAGAAGGGACCCAGCACTCGTCTGCCTTCCCAGAGTTTCGTGTTAATTTGAGATACCCGCCTTTTAGGTAGAAATCCCCAAAACCAAATGTCTTTTTCCTAAAGAGACCTTTCCCATTTGGAATTAAAAGAAGGTACATTTGGAGAGACGGAAGGTTCAGTGAAGCGTATGGCACCAGGATAAAGCTTTTATTTAAGCTTTGACATTTCTGAAAAACGTCCCCTCAGATCTTATAAAAACCATGGAACCATTTCAAGATAAAACCAAAACCAAACCCGTTGCTGTTGAGTCGATTCTGACTCATAGCGACCCTACAGGACAGAGTAGAACTGCCCTGTAGGATTTCCAAGGAGTGACTGGTGGATTTGAACTGAACGACCTTTTGTTTAGCGGTCGAGCTCTTAACCACTGCGCCACCAGGGCTCCATTTCAAGATAAGAGCAGCAGAATTTTCACCCACGATCAGATGATCTGTCACTATTGGCCTTGGTAGTTTCTTTTGGGTCTGGTGCTTCTCCGGTTTGCATTCTATCTCACAAAGGCACCTGGGAGCTAGTGTTTGGCAGGTAATATGGTTCCTGGCCAGTAACATTTTAGTGAGTGCAGAGGAAGATGTTTATAAACATCCACATCAAAGCTGAGGCCCAGTGGAAGAGCAAGCTGGTAAAAATTCGGAGCTTAACTCCAGCTAACTGCCAACGCAAAGATAGGAAGGATTAATGGGCTTGGAGGGATGGTCCAGGGTTGACGCTTACGGCTTGGAAAATGTTTGGGAGTTTGGTGAAAAATAGAAAGTAAGAAAAAGTAGCTATTTTCCCTTAGCTTTTCCAAAGTTCCCCTTTCAGAGGCCTTAAATTCTTGGCTGCAGTGATAATCCTTTTATCTGAATTCTGCAAGGAGACTAAACCAGTCTTCGTCTGTCACTCAGTCACTGGCATTGTCCAATTAGTGGAATTTGGACCTATGGGTAAGGCCTGATAGGTTGATTGCAGTGCCTCATAAAAGGAAGTTTCCAGCAATTAGACATGCCCAGCACTGGCTCGGGCTGCCTAGGAGAATAACGAGCTCCCCATCAAGGTGCCAGATAGAAAGTTTCGGGACCCATAGGGTGCTGGACTGCATGACGTGAATAGATGCTTCTGGCCCTGGGACTCAGGAATAATTGGCATTTAGTTTTGAGATTTCTTGAGGCACTTGGGCCTGCAGGCTGAGAGAGTGTAGGCTGTGATCAGGGTTTTCTGAAGCATCTGTCTTTTCAGCTGCAGCCACACATCTGGCTGTCTCAGGCACCAGTGTCCTTTCCACACATGGTAGCTGTGATGGTGTACTTACATCTAGAAGCCAAGTCAGATCAGTAGCTTGGAATGTTCTGGATGACCTTCTAGTTTCTCCAAGAAAACAAATTTTATTTCTTTCCCTTATAAAAAAATGTTTCTAAAATATATGAGTGCATTTTTTGACCAGGTGCTCACATTTGTGTATTTCTGGGGGTGAATGTAGGCCTCTGGAAGGCCGTGGAGTCATCATTCTTACTGGGTTCTTGTTGAGGAGGGTTCCCCTAGAAGTCACATGGCCTGAATGGACTAGAAGCCCTACAAGTTAAGGGCTGGAAGAAATCTGGTCATTTGAGGCTTCTAGTTATTTTGGATCTGCTTAACTATAGTTTTCCTAGAACACCTCTTGTATTTAGTTGCTATCAAGTTGATTCTGACTCCTGGCAACCCCATGTGTGCAGAGTAGAACTACTCCATAGAGTTTTCAATGGTTGTGACCTTTTGGAAGCAGATGGCTAGGGCTGTCTTATGAGGTACCTCTGGATGGGTTTGAACTGCCAACCTTTTGGCTAATGGTCTAGTGCTTAACTGTTTGCACTACCCAGAGACTCCTAGAATACCTCTTGAGGCATCTGTTTCATCTCCTTCAAATAGTAGGTTCCTAAAAAAAAAAAAAAATCAACTAAACACATTGCTGTCAAGTCGATTCCGACTCATAGAGACCCTATAGGACAGAGTACAACTGCCCCATAGGGTTTTCAAGGAGCAGCTGGTGGATTTGAACTGCCGATCTTTTGGTTAGCAGCTAAGCTCTTAACCACTGTGCCATCAGGGCTCCAGCAGGTTCCTAGACCCCAGTTTATAAAAGTATAAGTGTGTTCCTTCCAAGATTTACACCATATATTATCATGGATGAATGCTTTGGCTATATACATATTTAATCCTGATAGAGTGGAATCTGATTTATACAAACAAGCAACCATTTCCTTTTAAGTATATTTTCAAGAGATCATCAAGCAGCTTTCTGCCACACCTTTGTCAAAAAACTGTGATCTTTGATCTAAATATTCTTCTGGTTCTTTTCATTTAGAAAGCCCTCCTGCAACTAAGCATGGGTTTAGCACAGTCCTTGGCTTTGGCAGACAATCTAGGGTGTAGTTTTTCTCTGTGACTCATTTACTTTGCTTCTTAATCTGCAAATATTACCTTTTAACACACTCCTTGTTAGATTCTTTTTTACTATAATATGATGGAGACAGGTCATTTGTAATCCAAAGATTTGAATATTTCCATCAAAAACACTTTTTAATGGTTTGTTTTTTATTGGATTTTATCTCAAAATCATTTTAAACCAACTTGGAATATGATCCGGTTATGGGTGACTGTGGCTATTTTTGTTGAAGGCATGCTTATTGGACACCTATTAGGCAAGCAGCTGGGGCTGAAGAGATGGTTCCTGCCCTCAGAGAAGGTCTGGTCTAGTGCACACAGTTCAGGGTCAAGGGTACAGGAAAAAGCCAACCAGGGGATGGGGATTGAGGGTAGGCAAAGACAGCAAGAACCAGCAAAGGCAGCAAGAAGCTGTGAAAATGGTGTGGAGCTGACCCACCCAATGGCCCTGAGCTCTGTGTGGCCTCTCTTGGGCCCTCCCCCTGCCTCATGATGTCAGCTTATTCTCTTTGGGGTCATGGAATCGACCATAACATAACTAGGGAAGTAAGAGAGGCTCAGAAGTGGGAGATGTTTTATGTTTTTTACCTACTTTTGTCATCTTAACTGTACTAAGTCAGTAGGGTTATCTCTCACCTTAATTAACTCCCATAGTATTAGTAATTTAAATGAAAAAAAATTAATTACGGTGAAGCCTCTGTTTCAGTCTTTAACTACTAAAAGTTTATCGGGGAGTGTTTTTGAGAGAGACAACTGGAACGTTTTAATATGCTAACCCTTGAGCCTGACATTTAAGGAGTTGAATTAATCACTTTTCACTAGAGGCTGCAAAGTTAATGTTATAAACAGACTCATGGAGTTCCATACTAGTATTCTATTTGCTGTTATTCTAAAATTTTAAGTCCTGTAATTATATGGTTTTAGTTGTTGTTTTGTTTTGTTCTTTTTTTCATTTGTACCCTACCCTAAACTGATTTCCCTAGGTTTCCCCAGATACTTTTCAAGTTATGATAAATTACACTTCAAAGGCTTTCCTTTTAAAGCATCCTAATTGGCTTCTTCTGGGTATATATTCTTCATCTCTCTTTTGAAAACCTTGCTACATGCCTCCTTTGCCATGAGACAAGAAGAACTGGATGGTGCCCAGCTACAATTACTGAACATTTTGATCAAAGATTCTATAGAAGAATCCTGATCAAAAGGGGGAAAATGCAGAATAGAATTTCCAATTCTTTGGAGCCATGGAGGCTGGATGAACCCACAAAACTGTTGCCCCGAGGTAATCTTTAAACCTTAAACCAAAAATATCACCTAACGTCTTCTTAAAACCAAACAATAGTTTAGCTTAACTAGTGAAGAATGCCTGCCTTGAGCATTGTTCTCTTGTAAGATCTATCTATATGGGATCAGATTGACAACAGCAACTGGAAAGCTTAGATAGAACCCATACAGGGCAATGAGTTTATATTAATGGGGGAGGAATAACTCAGAAAAGGAGAGTGAATTCATTGGCCAACCATGGACTATTTAACACGTGAAAGAAAGGTAAGACTGCTGCTCGAATACCGGTTTGACTTTATTATTTTCCTTTTTGTGTCAATTGTGTATCCTGCCCTTTCTCACCGTGCACCCCTGCCAGTGGACGTTCTCGGTAAGTCTACTATCCTGTATCCCTGGTGGCTGGTCACGGCATGGTCCTTGCTGTGGGCTTTCCGTGATTGTCCAGACC